ATGGAAAGAAAAGCATTTCAATAATTATTTGATCACAGTGTGTTTGCATTCTCTTAAAGTAAGGAAATAGTATTAGAAATATCTTTAACAGACACAGATTTAACAAAAGTTAAGAGTTTGAAATATAAATAATTAGAAACGGGAATATGTATTTCAGCAGTGTGCATGATTAGGTACTTAAGTACATTAAAATTATCTTACCTCTTGCCTATTTTGAATCCTCAAATCAAGATCAAAGTCTAGAACATACTTGATATTTTGGGAAAAAAATATAAGCAAAACAAAACCCAGTTATTACCACAATGGAACAGTATGAAATACAATGATCTGAAACACAGGAGTTAAGATCCCAGTTCATTTTGACCTTACCCCCTACACATAACTTTAACTTTCAAATGTCTTTATGTTTTTGTTAAAAGGCACTATGAATGAACAAAGCATGCCACTACATTAAAAAAAAAAAAAAAAAAAAAGCCGATTTTCTCTTAACTTACTAGACAAAGTGTTTATTTTTATTGTATTGAGCAGTGGCAATGTCCATCATAATCAACAGACCCATGTCTCTTATTATGCCAATCTGTGAACTCAAACTAATAGTTCAGATACAACAAGAAATGTCAGAGACAAGCATTCATAAACAAAGAATATATAAGTTAGCCAGCTGTATTGTACCTTCCAGGTTGTTCTTTCAGGTGACAAACTAGAAAACCATATAGCACAACACGTTACCTGAAAAATCAGCAAACACTGCACTGGCAATGCTTACATATTGTCACTAATAAATGGTGTTTATGGTTATAAACATTACGTTAATGTTTAGATGCACATTGCAGGAGAAGATAGCAGAGATGACCTGTTCCAGCATAACACCATGCATAAGTCACACAAGATTTGCATAATATCCAGTAATATCATAATTAGTATACAATAGTCAACTAAAGATACATACACTGACTGTCCGGTTATGCAGAGAGTAAAAAGAAAGCTCTTAACTAAAACTGAAGAACTTGACAAGACAGGCATTTGCAAGTCAGCAAATAACATGATACTCATTCTGGCAAGCTGAAAAAATAACTTTCTTAATTAAGCAAATACTCCACAAGCACATTCTCACCCACACACAACATATACAGAATGCTTCCTACCTTATGCTATTGACAAAGCAAAACTATCCTCAGTTTCCAACAATAAGGATAGCCTCACACAAGAAGGATCCTTATTGCCACCGAGACAAGCCCTTTTAATGTAGACAAAGTTCTAAATTATTGTCAGTCACAAAGTCAGAATAAAAGATAAGTTATCTGTTAATGTCAAACTAAATATATGTCTGTATGGATAATAATAAGTCTCCTTGCTACTTTGCAGAGAAACAGAAAATAATAGTAGAGCTAGTTTGAATAAGTCTTCCCACTAGCAGCAAAACAACAAAAAAAGCCTTATTTTCTTTACATTTGTATATTCCTCCCTTACAATCTTACCCTGCATTGTAGTAACACCAACACACACATCTCAATTACCTCCAGTTTTTCCCCCCCCACAGCCGCTCAACAATTTCCCCCACTGGCTCCGTCAACTTGTGATTTGGAAAAGCAGCAGTCATAACTGTGTGAGCAGTCATCTTCTGGCACAAAAACCAAGTAACTTAAGCTCACCATACTTTGTCATTCCCCTTTCTTTTGAATGATCTGTACTACCCCCTGCCTCTGAGTGTTTGACAAAGGAATAAAAAGATCCTTAAGTTCCTATGTATAGTATGAAGATTCCTAATATAAAGTCCTATTTCTGATTAAGGAAAAAAAAAAAAAAAAGAAAATGGTATCATTGATCAACTCACTGCTGTTTATTCCTTCCTACAATGCTGGCTCTGCAATATGACTGCAAGACTTCAGGTCTCTGCAGTAGCAATCAAATTTTCAATAGCAAATAAGGCTTTCAATCTCACTACTTCTCACCTCACTGAATATTTCATTTTTCATAGTCTGTTGATTTAAATATAGATTAACTTTTTCAGTAAAATTAACTTGAGAAAATCTAATTCAAGTAAGAGCAGGAAGTTTTTCCTTGGCTTTTTAGAACAATTATAGAACAAACCACTGTTTACACTGTCTTCAGTTTGCAATGAAACTATGTTACATATCACAATAGCAAAGATTGCTTTTAATGCAGAATAACACCTTTCTCTCCTTTCATTGCACTTATGACTTACTAGCTAAATTTACAGTCTAATACAGCAAGCATGCTTTTTAAAAAGGTAGGTGCAAGGAATACACCATTATCAATACAAGCTTCCATTTAGTAACTCTACTTCCACATATGTACCAACTGGACAATAGTTTCAAAACAAAAAATATAGAAAATGTTTATTTTTACAACACACAGTATCTCATTACACTTTCTTGTAAACTAATATAATCTCTTAAAACATCAGCTAAGCAGTGAAACACTATCAACATGCATGCTTTCCAAAACATCATGTCCACATCCTCTTTGTAGGTTGTACCTAGCTTAGAGCTTCAATGGAAATGCTTCTACTTTTCAGAATTTCTCAGAGAGTTCAGGAATTTAATCTGGAATTATTTCAGTCCTGTGAGATCATTACCTGACAAAAGCTAAAAATGCCACCTGGGTTAAACACTCATATGGGAAAAAGGAAATGGAAGCTATTAAAGCAAATGTAGAATGGTTCTTGGCAAGAAAGCTTACTTATATCTCAAATATAAAGCTTAGAGATGATCTCTTCTAAATCATGTAGATAGTCAGATAAAGTAAGAGTAGGTTGGGCAGCTGCAGCTACTAGAAGCCTGTACTTTATAGTCTCTCAGTAGCAGAAGTCTTTCATAGGATAGTAATTAATGTATGCCATTCTAGGCATTAGTATTAGGCTAGCACAGTTACAAACTCTAAGCCAACTTTAACACAACATTTACAAGTGTTCAGTCTTGATTTTCTACGGTGACAAAAGAGCAACAAGAACAAGCTGGCTAGGTCAGCCCACAAAAAGAAATTAAGCCAATCTTCCTCAAAAAGTGGTATACAAAATGCTTTAAAACGTATTTATTTTCAAGCTTTCTGTTGCAGTACCTCTACACATCTCTCTAGAAACCTGCCTGACCCTTTTCTAATGAATCCTACATAATCTCACCAAGTTCTTTCAGTTCTGCACAGGTTCTGTATTCTCTTAAACACAGGATAAAATCTGTACAACTTAAATTGAAATCATAAAGCTACTGAAAGAGTACAAGGTTTCCATTTCTATTTACCCTGTTACCAATCAGAGAATTTTATGAATTGCAGAGCACCTTTACGAGACACAAGTACCACAGTTCAGATTCTCATCTGACCTTCCACTAAAAGAACAAACATAAAACTCACAAGTATCCTACAATATCAATAATTTTTTAAAGCAAACTATATAGTACTAAAAAGACTCATAACAATAAATTCAGCATATGCCTAATAGTTCATGCTGTATAAAGAAAACCAGTTTACAATGGAAGATATATTCATGGGATGCTCCTTAAACATAAGATTGATCTGAGCTGGTTGATTGTTTTTGATTCAAATACAAATTTAACTCATCTGTGAAACTCAAAGTCAATTATGTAAGATTATTTTCAAAAATATCAAACAATCTATTATCAGAAGAATGTTCCTGAGCATATACAAATAATAAACCAGAATTTCTTGAACTGGTTTCTCAGAGGCACACATGTCACACAGAAGGCAGGAAACAGCTAAACTGACTGGACACAAAGCCTGCATAGAGTGATAGATTTGCAACACTTAAAAAAATCACAAACCTGTGAAGTAACAAAAGCACATCCAAGTACTTCATAAACCATAATACTCAAACTTCCTATAAGCCTTATTAACTTCTGGCCATGCTAAACTTTCCACAGAGGACACTGAAGAAATACCTGATATTTTCAGACTAAACCAGACAAACCAGACCAACTTAAGAGACCAAATCTAACAGTATCACAACTCGGTGGATGAGAAAGTAATCAGAATTTTGTAGTATCAAATATGTGTGTGTGCGTGTATATCCTTAGACCTTAAAGCAACTTAAACCACAAGCATTCTGTATTTTATCTATGAGTACCACTTCATTTCCTGTCTCACAAGACTTTAAAATCCCATATGCCACTTAGATACACAGCACTTAGAACAGACACCTGCACGGCTGAGGTCGTACACTCAAGGGACATGTCCTCTCTATTCTCTATCATACTGGAAGCGGTATCTCCACCACTACCAACCGCCACCCCATCCATCAAATCGACCCTTTCTCCCAAAGGCATGGGGTTTTGGAGTCCTGCAAACCCACCCCTGAAGGGAAGGAAGCACGCAGGGACAACTCGGGACAGCTCCATCTACCCCGACTCCCCAGGCAGCACCGCCTTGCCCGCAAGCTGTCCCAGGCTCCTTCACACAACAGGCAACGCTGCTCGCAGGTAGGAAAGGGTGGAGTTGTGGGGTTATCAGGGTTTCCTTTCTCCCAGAATACAAAATCCACCTTCCCCTGGGACAAGGGGGAGCTGTCCAGACAGACAAAAAGACAGAGACAGCCCACATGAGGTTCCCTGCTGGGGGAGGGGTGTTTGGGGAAGAGAACCCTCCACAAAACCCAACCTCTCCTGTTAAAACACACACAGCCTCCTACCTGAGAATACAGCGTGCTTGCTGCAGCAGGGAAAGTTCAAGCACAGCCCTCCTCCGTCCAAACCCCGGACACCTAGGGAGCAAAGGGCCCGCTCCTCCACAGACACCCACCCCTTGGAGAGGAGAAGACCCCCGCACCGCATACCCGTGCTGGGAGGGCCCCCACAGTCCCCCACTGCAAACACCTCAGGCAGGCCCGCCCCGCCGCCAAGACCCTCGCCTGGCCTCAAACGGCTCGCGGCCCTACCCCGGGGCGGGGGAGAGCCGGGACCTTGGCCCCGCCACCGGCGGGCCTCCACGCCATCCCACCCCACGCAACGCCGCGGCCCCGGACTGACCTGACGGGGGAGGGGCGACGCCGTGTCCGTTGACAGGGGAGGGGCGAGGTC